AGCAACCCCACCTTCCCCCTCATGGGACATCACCATCTGCCACCTCCCTGCCAGGCTTCCCACTCTTCTACATGACCTCAATCAAGGCTTCAGGAGAATTAGAAGTGGTTCCTGTTAAGAGTCTGGAGGCCTCTGGATGCTGCCACCACCATCAGCAGCAAATATACTGGAGAAAGCTACGGTGACCTTGTTCTGAGCGGGCACTCTGCTGCTCACCAGCTTTGTCACATCTGGCAAGTCACATAGCATCTCAGAGTCACAGTTCTTTCTCTTTCTTCTAAATAACATCTGTTTCCCATCTTAAAGGACTGTTGTGAACAAATAATATATTTATGGGAAAGCACTTTTTAATTGATAAACCATAATTATCTTACATGAGCCCCAGGCATCACCATAAATAAATGAAATAGGGCAGAGAGAAAAAAAACAGGGTAGCAACGTAGTCTACAGTGAATGACTCTGGGTTTGGGGAGAACAGAAGCAGGAGAGACCATGCAAAGTGGAGCGCCCAGGATCTAATGCTAAGTGACCACTGCCCCTGTGTAATCAGAGCTGCTGGTTTCCTCAGACACCAGGGAGTTTCACTGTGCATACATGAAAACACCCAGGGTATTTAAAGGTTAGCAACTAATTCACAACTTTAAAAGCCAGAGAGACCATTCCTGAAAGGCCAAACAAAACATGTCCGAGGGCAAATTTGGCCCTGAGGTGCCCATTTGTGACGTGTGATGTACACACACATCCATGTGATGTTCCTGTTGTTCAGGATACACAGGGCTAAGATCCGCCGCCATTTCTTCTTAGTGTCCCTCCCCAAGACTTCCCTATGGCTGCTGACACAGCTGTGTCCTCACAGTGCTAAGATTTTTCCGAGAGTTCTTCATGTACCTTCATGTGTGGACACTGTAAATAACTCTTCTCATGAAAAGTTAACTAGGCCTTGAACCAATCCAACAGGGTCACCATCTGGTAGTCCTCAAGAACAGTGAACTGTCAGCACTGTAAACATTTTAGACTTCATGCAAGACACTGACTTTTTCTACACTAATCATCCCTGCCAGTCAAGATTTGCAGTATGGGTTCAGGAACAAGGCATTCATTTAACAACAATAACAAGAATACTGAGGATGAAGACCGGGCGGTCATCATAATGAAAGGTCTAAAAGCAAACTGTGACTTCCCTAATAAGGCGACGACCAAAGTTAGCTCTCTGGCTGTGGAGCACCAATACGATTAATCAGTCTGTTTTCAGTTTTCTCACGACAGCAATATTAACAGTTTGCTTTATTCTGTTTATATGGTGCTGACAGGTCTTCAGCATGTTGGGCCTACTTGCTGGAGATTAATGGCTACTCCTATATGGAGGTAAAAACCAGGCAAAGAGAGAACGCCTTTCACAACTAGATAAGAACTGGCTTCTCTTGCTCTCCTTTTGTTCCCCTCTATTAATTTCTATCAGGGTTATGTAAGATTAGTTGTGTATAGTAGGTTTCTCTTAAGTTTAAATTCTACTTTAAATGAATGCTCTGTCCCCAAGTGACACAGAAACAAAGGGAACTTTAAATATTACTTCTGGTTGATGAAGAGATGCTAAGTTTATCATCTTATCAAGGGTGCAGCTGGCTAATTTTGTTTTTAAAATGTCAGACTCCTTATAAAGGTAAAAGATAGGTAAGAGAGGGCTTCTGGTGACAGGAATTTGAGTATATTCGGTGGGTAATGGCTCCTCTTTGCACCTATGGTTATGTAGTGCACACTGTAAGAAGGCAGAAATGATATTAAGTATGGCCTGCTGCAAGAAGTACAGGCATCCCAAAAATCTCAGACCTATTGTACAAAATGGTCTTATTTCAAATCTTTTTATTTTGAAATAACTCCAGACCAGCCCCCTGTAAGAACTGCTTGACACTGGTATACTTTTCTCTGTGCCAGGGTGGGAAGACATGGTAAACCTAAATGCTATTTTAATAGCATCTAAGTATAGAGAAACTAAGATAGCAAATTAAAAAAAAAAATCAACCTGTCTCCTCTAGGGTTCTGTAGGAATCTCATTCTTTGGTCTTAGGGAACCTCCTGCTGCACTCATTTTTATGCAACAACTGCATGAATAAGTATGCGTTGTATACACAGGAACCTCAGGTCCGAACCTCAGGTCCTATGGCCAGGATGAGCTCTCCAGCCCACTTCCTCTGGCTCACTCCTCTCCTGACATAGGAGAAGGGAACTGGTTCCAGTAGATAGGGCATCAGGGGTGGCTTTTAAGTGGAAATTTGGGTTTTTTAAAAAGATTTTATTTATTTATTCATTAGAGACACAGAGGCAGAGGGAGAAGTGGGCTCCATGCAGGGAGCCTGATGCAGGACTTGATCCCGGGACTAGGGTATCATGCCCTGAGCCAAAGGCAGATGCTCAACCACTGGCCACCCAGGCATCCCTTAGGTGGAAACTTCTAACAAAGATTTTTAAAGCCAGAGATAAATAAGAACATTCTAGATAGTAAAACAGTATTAATAATGGTATTTATTGAGTGCTTACTATGTATAAGCACTACTGTTTAAGCACTTTAGTTGTAAAAAACCAATTTAATTCCCACATTAAAGAAAGTTAAATCATGTTTCAAGTACAAGATAATTGACAGTAGACCAACATACTGGACTAGATTTGAAAAGATCTTGAATTCCATATTGTACTTAAATAATTTGCCTGATGAAGGTTCATGAGAGAGGGAAGAAACCAATGTGAGGCTAGCTAGTCTGAAGGATATTGCAATAGTCTTGAGACTCCAAGCCAGGGTGGTACATTTAAAGTGAAAAGGAGAAGAAAGATTTGAGACTTATCTCTAAAACATAACCAATTAAAATTTTTTGACTGCTTTGATTTTTTAGTTCCATTGTCATTCAATATTCAATTATTTTTGAGGGTTTCAGATGGGTCAGGCATTGTACTAAAGGATATCTAAGAAAAAATAAAGTCCAAAGATCAACTCCTTCCTCAAAATTGGGCTACTAGCCATCATTCAGTGGTCTAAAGTGACACCACAGTAGACATCCATCCATTCCTCCCTCCTTCCTTTCATTCAAAACTTACTGAGTGCCTACCTGTGCCAGGAATGTTACATAATGCTCATGAACAAGTGAGGGAAAAAAATGAAAGGAAAAAAAGACTGCTCTCTTCATTTTCATAGCCCTGGGAGTGCCTTCTTTCTGGAACTTCCATTCCTTTTCTGGCCATAGATGCAGGATATGATGATAAACCACCAGACTGCAGCACAGGTATTCTTAGTCATCCAAATGAAGAGCAGATCTATTCAATTTTTAAATGTATGCCCTGGCATATTTATCCAAAGCAAAACACTGTATCTAGGGGCACCTGGGTGGCTCAGACAGCTAAGTGTCTGCCTTCAGCTCAGGTTGTGATCTCAGGGTCCTGGGATTGAGCCCCGTGGTGGGCTCCCTGCTCAGCAAGGCCCCTGCTTCTTCCTCTCCTTCTGCCTTTCCACCCTGCTCAGGCTTACTTACTTGCTCTCAAATGAATTAAAAAAAAAAAACCTTCAAAAAACGGTATCTAACATGATTCCTAAGTGTAGATTTTAATACTCTCTAGAAGGATAGCACAGGAAAAACTAGCTCTGAGCAAAGCCAAAAGTGTGAATAGAACAAATATACTTTGAACAGTATCTGGTACCTGGTGGTACCTGGGTGGCTCAGTGAATGAGCATCTGCCTTTGGCTCAGGTCCAGACCCAGGGCTCTGGGATCAAGTCCTGCATCAGGCTCCTTCTCCCTCTGCCTATGTCTCTGTGTTTCTCATGAATAAATAGATAAAACTCTTAAAAAAAAAAATAAAAACCTTGTATCTAGTTCAGTTGGTAAATTAGAGACACACAATCTTACTGCCTTTCAGGAAAAGCCCTGATCTTTTAAAATTAAGATTTGCCTAGATTTTATAAGAATAAATCCTGACCATTTCCTAGTGCTTTTTGAAAAACAACTAGAATGACTACCACTGAGAAGTATTTTGCTTCGTGGCAGCTGCCTTTTCATTACTATTTTATGAGAGCTTGTCTAGATATTATGTATTCCTCACTATCTACGTTTAGTTCTTTTTAAAATGTCTCCTTCAGATGCCTGGGATTATGTCAGTATCTTTCTAACCAGATCCCAAATACAAACTATATCATTTTAATACTTTCCAAAGGTTCTTTTGCATGTAGGCTCACCTCCAGAAACCATGACTAAGGTGTGCTTTTGGTCATTTCTATTAAAACATTAAAAGGTATTTTTAGGGACCAATGAACACCATCAACAATTATTTCAAGTATAAGATAGTTGGTACATGCCAAGGGTGAGACTTGAAATGCCAATAAAATCTAACTGTAAAAGAAGGAATTTGATGAGAGCAGGCATATTTTAACTTCAGTTTTATTTTGAGGATCTGGACCTGGTATGGACTTGTGTGTTCTATGAATTCTGAGATAGCTATGGAAGAAAAGCCTGCACAGATGGGGACATTTAAAGCAGAATCCTGGGCCTGAGCATCTTAGTCCCAGCCCCCACCACCTGCATCACTTACCACAACCATCTCTGTATGGAAAGTAAGTTTGAATAACTACTTATTTCCACTGAAAAATGTCTTTAAGTTAGAACAGATCAAATGCGTTCATTTTACAAATGGAACTAGGAGAAGTGTAAAATACTCCAGAAGTGATCAAGGAGGACACTCCCATTGATCATCCTCTCACGTTAAGCTACAGAGAGGAGCAGTCTTCACTGTTGGGGAAACTAGTTCCAAGAGTGAAAAGCCTTTAGTTATGCTAAGCTATCCCCTTCGTTTATCTGGGCTCAACCAGAGAGGAATCTGGAGGAAGCAAGTCAAAGACGAGCCCAAAGGGAGAGCCACAGGACTTGGGCAGTCCACATGGGGAAGGCCAGGGAGGTCATCTGACGACCTTCTCAGTGGGAGAGGAAAGCCAAGTGGAGCTGCTTGCCCCCTGTGACCTACCTGCGGCGCAGATCCTCGGCCACAGCGGCCCGGCAGCTGAACAGGTAGGCTCGCAGGGACTTCAGCCGCTGCCGCAGCCGCACCACAGTGGCCAGCGGCTCAGCGTGCAGGTACAGCATGGGGTTCTCCCGCTGGATGTCGATCAGGGGCTCTTCATACACGTACTCCAGGAACTCTTTGGCCTGCTTAGATACCTAGGAGATAAACCTCCTCAGTCAGTCTGGAGAATCATCTGGCTTGCCATACCTCTTCCAACTAGGAGCCAGAGTTTAAGTACCAAAGTCACATTTCTGAACAAGCCAAGAGAAAAAGCCCATAATTTAACTAAATATAAATGTTGGTTTTGCTTTCTCTCTTCCGGAAACTTGTAAAAGTAACCTTGGCATGGAAAGAAATTAATTCTGTATCCTGATTATGGTGATGATTACATGAATCTACATGTGCTAAAATGACACAGAACTATACAGACCCAGGATACTCAAGTCCACTTCTGTTTTTTTGATGTTAGTAATCTAAGACGTAACCAATGGGAGAAACTGGGTGAAAGGTACATGGGACCTCTCTTTACTATCCATGCATCTTCATGTGAATCTATAATCTCAAAACTTAACACTACTGATAAAAGTCTTAATTTTTTTTACTTTTAAAAACCACCTACATGTATATTTACCACTTTTATAAGTAGCCATTTTTTAAAAATAGGTAAATCATGTACATACTAAAAATTCAAAAGGAATAAAAGGATAGCTTAAAAGGACATTATATACAGGATAACTTGTATAAAAAACAGGCTCAAAAACACACTGTAGTGAGCAGAAAGGAGTACTCTTAGTATAACTGAGCTTGGACTGACTGGCTAATCTATCCATCCAATTCTATATCCATTTCTGATACTAAACATCAAAACTATGAGAAAGATAGTTTTAAAATGCCATTGTCAGGTCACCAGAGTGGCTCAGTCAGTTAAGCATCTGCCTCGGGCTCAGGGTTCTGGGATTGAGCCCCACATGGCTCTCTGCTCAGCAGGGAGTCTGCTTCTCCCTCTCTCTCCCTCTGTGCTCCCCCTCAAAGAAGAAGTAAACAAAATCTTTTAAAAAATGTCATTGTCACTAGAGTAGAAACACAAGGTGTCTGAGATACAGAGGGAGTAGCTTAAATAATGTATAACAAGTGGGTAATTTGGGGAACTTTTTACATGCCAATTCACTAATTCTGAGATGTGGATTGGCTAGTGACATGTAGATTTGGCTTAGTTTCTATTTATGGAAGGTAAAACCTCTCTAAAAATTTCCAACAAAACTACTCTAGTACTAGGAGTAAGGATAGAATTCAACATTAAAAATTGAAAATCCACAATGCTTTGCTTTACTCCAGACTAGAAGTTTATTAATGAAGATAAATAGGATGCAGTCCTTGCCCTCAAGGGACTATTTAGTATAAGAGAGAAATATTTAAAACAAAAACTACATGTAGTACAGAGCCTGTCCTCTACTATAAAAGAAATACAGATGGGGTGCACTGGTATCTTGAAGGAGAAATCAACTGTCCTGCGGGGGAAGGGAGCCCTTGGCAAAGCAAGCCACACTGCCTCAAGGTCTAGAAGGATAAACATAAATTCATTTGGTGGGCAAAGATGGTACAGAGGAGAGTACCACAAGTAGATCCAACCATGAAAACAAATCAATATGAATAGGTGGTAACTAAATGTAAGGCTATTGCATGTTGATTAAAACACATTTATGTAATTTAATATTTTCTAATATAAAGCTCAACAAAAGTGTTATGGAGAGATACAAAAAAATGGCCTCGATGTTTTTTTTTTCCTAATGAAAGTCTCATCCCCCCCCCCCCGATTATTAGCAATTATTTTTGAGGTACCTGTTGTGTGATCCTTTGGGGTCCTGCAGAGTTACATAGGGGGTGAAGTTTACAGTCTCTGTAAACCAGCTCACAAAGAGGCACCCAGAATTAGCCAAAACCTTTCACTATTTAACCAGACGGGAAATAACCATTGGCAGGGTAAATAACGCCTCACTTAGAGGCGCAGAGACACAGGTACATGCCAGATAGATACCATAGCCGGTATTAGTGGAGAATAAAGCAGGCATGGCCCTGTCCTCATGTAGCTCAAGGTTCAGTGGAGAAAGAGAGAATTGGGTTCAAATATTTTATTTATCATAGTTAAATATTTGCTATATTTAAATATCTTAAATGAGGAAAAAATGGATGGTGTTCTGGGAAAAGAAGTACAGTCTACTTGAAACTGTTGCTGAAAAATGATGTATTGTACAATTCAATTAGTCTTCCTGGCTCTATTGAGCAGTGTTTATACTGAGTCAGGGCCCTGCTGAATTAGGCTAACAATACTACCTTTTAGTAGGTGAACAGAAGGACAAAGGGCGCTGGCCAGTCTCCCAGGCCTGAAAAGGCTTCTCTCTTCAGGTGGTACTTAAGCCCAAAAGGGGAAAAAAAAAGTATTTTACAGAGACAGTATAAGCAGTGAGACAAATGGCACAGCAGCTACCGACATAAGCTGAAATTACTAAAAACAAAAACAGAGCTAGTTCAATAATGTCTAAGGCACTGCTTCACAAAGTTATTACCAAGGGTTAAGAATACAGAGCATACTGTGACCATGGCTGCCTGAGTAGGTGAACGAACCCCTGTAACTCTGAGGAATGGTTTTGGCAGTGTGGTTGAGCACACACTCACTTTTGAGAATCCACCACTTACAATGGTAAGGGAATTTTTGAAAGAACTAATAAGAATTTGGCATAAAATGCTATTTTTGCAAAATCGAATGCTATATCCCCACTGGTTTCTTAAGTTCTAAATAACCCTGCATACTGGTATAAGGATTCCATTTTCAAACTCAACTATAATTGGAAAGCTTTTTAAAAACGACATTAAACATATATAGTTACTTAGGGAAGGAAGCCAATGATATTCTTAGGTGATAAAGTTTATGTGAGAGAAAGTTTCTTTCCTGTTAACAGAAATATTACATAAATTATACTTGAACACCAAATATATTCCACCTAAGAGCTACTGTCCTATTTCTTGCCAACCAAATTATGAAAACCATGAAAAAGCCCGAGTGCATTTTCTGATATATATAAAAACTCAGCTCATAGGTGCAGATGGATAGGCCCAATACATTTTTAAAAATGGTTTTGGTTGGCATTCTTTTCCATGATCCCGGGAACTCCATTCACATTAGAAGCAACTTTTGTAGGGTCAATAGTTCATTTTTCAAATCTACTGACCTTTTAGTATTTTACTAAATAATATTTAAGGTTTATTAATAATATAATTTCTTTCCATACCTTTTAGCTTATAAACAGACTAAGTTATAAGAGCTCAAGTCTGTGACTTTATTTTATTGCAATTTGTGAACTGGTGTCCCCTTCACAGGGCTGTAGTCCACGGGATTCAGGAGCTGAGCAGGAGAAAGTCGAGGTAGAAAGCAATTTCTCCACACCTCACACACAAGAGTTGTTGGAGGAAACAGCAAGTGGGTTATAATTAGCTACAAATTAATAATGACCAAATCTATATAAACATATGTATTTATAAATAAACATAGTTGTTATTTGAGTAGTAACCATCACTAGTATAGATTTAAACATAATACATCTTTTGTTAAGCTGGTGACGGCTACCTCTTAAAAAGAGTTCTCAAATATTTAGGTTTACGTAATTCTGAGAAAGAGGTTCTGGAATGGTATCCTGGTATGCTCCCCCACAAAAATAGCCCTGGGTAAGACAGCAATGGAGCAAAGGGAATGTTTAACCAGAGACAGCAATTTGGAGATTGGGGCAGGGGAGGCGGATAGTCAGGACTTCAGTTAAAACAGATGAGGGACACCTGGGTGGCTCAGCCTTTGGCTCAGGGCACAATCCTGAGGTCTCAGGATCAAGTCCACATCAGGCTCCTTGCAGGGAGCCTGCTTCTCACTCTGCCTGTGTTTCTGCCTGTCTCTGTCTCTCATGAATAAATTAAATATTAAAAAAAAAAACAGGTGAGAGCAGAGTTTTAGAATAAGAACTGGTACAAATATCTAGTTCAGTTTTTCTCAGACTGTGTTCCAAGGAATACTAGTCCCACAAAAATGGTGTTCTGAGGTCCACCAAGAAAAATGCCACAGGCCACATTCTTCCCTTGGTGATTCAAAGTGTAGCATGTTAGCCTACAAAAGCTTATGGATGTCCTTGTCAGCCTCACATGCTTAGCCCAGCAATTTCCCAAACCTATCTGACTGCAGACAGGCAGCTATGTACTGTCGTACGGGAAACTCAGTCTGGGGCCTGTTTATCAACCGGAGGAAAGGGCTGCTGTCTCTCAACTCCTTCCATCCTCTTGCCATGCTGTGAGCTCCCAGGGATGCTTTCTCTTGAGGGGCCCTGTTCCAGTTACAAAGCTGTCCTAGCTGTGGCCCTCCTATAGAACCCTCTTTTTGAGGAACACCTATTAACAAGCACAGACCTTGTTAATGATCCATGGAACATATTCTGAGAAATGCTGAATTAATATACTTAGTAGGAAAAAAACCATTTTGTGCTTTTTAGTATTATTTATATCACAGTTCTTTTTATTTTTTAACAACTCTACCATAAACTCTCTCATCATCACCCCTCAAAGAAGGTGATGCCTGTCCATGTTCTCTCCTTCCTTTTTTCCAAATACGAAGCCAAGGCATTACAAAGGGAGACTAACCCATGCTATAATTTAGTAGTATGCTGGCCATTTGATTTTAACTATGAAACAAAAATTAAAGTCCAGGGGCCCCTGGGTGGCTGAGTCAGCTAAGCATCTTCCTTAGGCTCAGGTCATGATCCCAGGGTTCTGGGATGGAGCCCTGTGTCAGGCTCCCTGCTTCTCCCGCTCCCTCTGTCTGCTGCTCCCCCTGCTTGTGTTCTCTGTCAAATAAATAAAATCTTGAAAAAGAATTAAAGTCCAGTAACACACCATTTATCTAGAAGTCACTTATTTGTGTATTTGTTTACGGTCTTTCTCCCTCCACTGGAGTACAAGCATTCAAAAGGCAGAGACTATATCTCCACTGCCTAGAACAGTGAGCATGGTGAGTGTTCAATTAATACTTGCTGAAGAAATGAATGAGTGTTTTACAATGCTCTGGCTGTGAGTCTAGACCACACACTCTTACTTTACACACACTTCTAACAGCTATTTG